CTTTTGCGTTCGTTTTGCTTAATTTCCTTTTTTTCAGTTTCAGCAAAAAAAATCAAAACCCAAAAGTGAACGCATTCGCGGCCGGCAACGACGTGGAAGGATAGCTCAGTTCGTCCGTCCTATGCACCCCCCTCCCTACCCCCCCCTCTCTACCCCCGGTCAACGTTTTTGAGAGATGAGTGTCCAGCACTACCACCCACTTTTGCTGGCCAGTGGTAGCTGCGACCCTCCCCCCCCCCCCGGTCGACATTTTTGGAAGGTGAGTGTCCGGCACTACCACCTTCACTTTTGGCCGGCCAGTAATGCTGAAACCACCTTCACTTTTGGGGAACCCAGCTCCACCTATCGCACCTCTGATCGTCCTACAATTCTGTCCTTGCGCGTCCATCCAAACACTCCATCGTCGACCCACACATCTGCGCGCAAGGCACGGGGACGTAAGCACAGCGCCGATATCGTGGAAAACCCAAGCAATCAATAATACGACGGCACAACGATGGTAATAAGACGAAAGAGAAGAGCCGTAATGATGCTCGTACGTATGCTATCTATAGCGGTGGCTGGGGGCGTGCCTACGTGGTGGTCCGGAAGCGAACAAGGTAGCCGCCGTAAAGCGCGGCGACCCTGCTCACGACCGAACGGCGCGGCAACACGGTGCTCCCGGCCACATGCTGCGAGGAGCGGTCGATCGCGAGCCGCGACACATGTTATACTTAAGGAATTCGAAATTTTTCTTGAATGAATGAATCTCGAATAGATGTATATCGAATTACTTTGAATTTCAGAAATCTCGAATGAATAAATCATAGAATTCGAACATCTCAACATATCAAATGAATAAATATCGATTATATTCGAAGAATGAGAGTCGAATGTCGAATGGATATTCAAATGATTTATCGAATATCCAGAGCAAGCATATCTAAAACTTGCTGACATAACCGGCTAAAGTCAATTCATTTACAGTGTCTTCACTTACCTCCTGTACCATCTCTCAGCCCCGTAGCTTACAGTATTCAAAAAATCGATAAAGTTGGTAGTTGGCAATTCGTTTGCACATCAGCAAACATCGTATTTTACTTTCCATTATTGAGCGATCTGAATAGAAAGGGTTTGTAAACTTTTATGCTGTGTCTAGTAAACTCTTCTTCACATCGTCAGAAAGTGAGTAATGTACACACAGGAATAACATAGCTTTATTTCTATCAGCATTTACAGTGTAAAAGCAAAGTCTGACCTTTCCACATAATTAGGAAAGCCTTGTTTCAAGTACTGTTGGAATGCAAGGAGTGCGAGTTTCCGTACATTTCAAAGCTTCACGGCTTAAAAAAATGCATTATCGCGTTTGGCAGAAAAAAAACGCAAACGAAGCAATTTGAGAACTCAGCAGTTGGCTCTGCGCCAAAATTCAAGTACGAATCTCATTTCGAATTCTAAATTCGAAACTCCGAGTAATTGAGTTTTCAAGTTTCGTTCGAAATCCCGTTTTTTGATTATTCGAGTTTTTGATTTTGTATCGAAACCCCTTTTTCAATTACTCGAGTTTCATAATTTAAATGCGAAAATATTCAAATGTTTTATCCGAAGGATGATTTTTATCCGATTAGGATTCAAGTAAACACCTCGTTTTTCCAATTTCCCAGTTGTTTCTCGCAGATATACGAGGTGATATCGCCTTTGTAATGTGTTGCCAACATGTCAACTCTGTATGTGCGCTATCTATATTTGTGATCGAGCATCTATCCAACGCAGATTATTCAGCGATTGTTAAAAGTTGATTAGTATCGCTTCACTTCGGAGCAGTACAGATTGTTCGAGGTAAGACAGTAAAAAAGGGGCCCGACAATAGTCAGCTGTGGGAAATGTATGCAAGCAAATTGTACCGTGGCAAATTTTCTCGATACTGGCCTTTGTTTGACGCTTTCTTTGGATCAGGTGTGGTCCATAATTGGCATGGTAAAGAGACAAAATCTTCTTCACAAAAAACAGATCCGGATGATAGAGGAGTGCACATAAAGGCTCAAAATTCACAACTTTTCATCTGCCACAATCGCTCCACCTTACTCTATGCACCAGCAAAATTAAAAACTCGTGGAGGTATTGGCACGTAGAGCAGTACATACAAGCGCAACAAGGACTTTTGAAGGGGTCAGTTCTGCCAAAATTTTATTGCAAATGACCAACCAAGCATTCCATTCTTTTATCTTTGATTAAGAAATCACGACACTGTTATCAGGGCGCATCATTTTTCTCAAAATTAAAAAAAACTGCCGTTCTTAAAGCCTTTAATGGGGCACTTTCACTTACAAGTCATGTATTTCGAAATGCGTTTACTCAACTCTTTGAAAGAGGTGACAGTCGTTATCTATGCAAGAAGGACTCATTTTGCATGGGGTTGCTGAACTGTAAAAAAATGTTTTCTTCAATTCTGAAAGGGTTGAAACTGCGACCAACACAGAACTGCAAAATAATTGTGTTGAAATTGTGGCCGAGAGAATGACTGCAATTGTATGTAATAGATTGAGCTTAAAATCACAAGAAAAAACAAAAGATTTTTACGAGTTTGTTGGACAATAAACTCACTATCAAAAAAACAATGATAATTAAATAGAAACATTTGAGCAAAACATTCCTTTTTCATTTTTATCGCTATTACTAACAGAATATGGTTGACGTTCATTCTTACAATTTTAGACCCATACCTTTGTAGCAACAAATGGTTGCTCATTAGCATATTATAAATGGCTGCTTGGTTTCGTGAACTTGTCAAAGAAAATTTGTAACTTCACAAATTCATCTGAGATAATTTGCATCCAAGCAAAACATTTGATGTGTGCTGAAAGACTGCAAAGGTCTTTACCAAAGTTATAGCGGTTCATATCAACATGGCAAAGGACAGTCAACTGAGGATCCCCTTGCGTCTCCACCCTAATAAATCGATTTGATTCGCAGCTGCACGTCGTAAGTGATGCTTGACTCAGATATGGAAACAATCACATTGACGCTGCTAGTCTTTTCTGGAGGTGACGACTGTAGCAGTCCAAGCACTGATAACGTCGTTCATACCAAAGGCATACCTTTTGCATCGCCAGCATTGTCATATTCTACCTTTATTCAGAACAGCTTACGTTAAGCTGTAGATCTTTTGCGCGTTTTTCATGCAAGTTAATAGTTTCAATAGTTGAATCTTCGCAAAAGTTGTTCTTCTTACATGTTCTAAAAAAATCCGACGGTGTTGGCTATAGCAAATCTTTTCCCATTGACGCGATACTCTACTCCTGTGGTCGTATTCATCAACGAACCCTGAGGGTTAAACTAACCCTGGAGGGTTAGTTTAACCCTGAAAAGCGATTAACTCGTATTCACGAAACACACTGTAGGCTTAACCCTAAGGGTTAAATCTACCCTTGAGGGTAAACCATACCTCAAGCGATTAACCCATATTCATCAACGAACGCTGAGGGTTAAACTAACCTTGGAGGGTAAAACTTACGTGACTCATCAGGGTTAATTTAACCCTAGCTTAGAGCAAGGTTAACTCTACCCTAACACATCTTACAAGCATTTAATATCTGCTGCATGACAAAGGCGGTCGCCCGAATAGTTCAAAGGCTGTTGCGCACGCGGCGCGTGGTAAATTCTCACCCACGGAGCGCGCGCACGCTCCAGTTGATGACCGCTGACCGAGCGTGCGCGCGCCCGGTGGTTGACAATTGCCCGCGCGCCGCGTGCGCAACAGCCTTCAACCTATTTAGGCGACCGCCTTCGTCTTGCAGCAAATTACGCGCATCTAATAGTTTTATGGAAAACGATCAACGAGTGTTGTAGTATTTAGTGTTAGTTGTTGTTATTGTATTTAGTTTCGACTCGTTTTATTTCAAATTCGAAGTATGAAACACTGACTTCGCGAGAAAAATATTTCTAGCTTTGGTGACAAATGGTTGCGCTTTCCAATCTGACAAGTGCCAAAACAGAAGAATTCCTTTATGATAACACGCATTGACCCTCAAAAGAGTAGCACAAGCCCGGTATAAAACGAACTGCGCAAAAGTAGAACTTACACGGCACAACTGCACACATGAAAATAAACTCACGCTGTAAGATTGGATGCTACACAAATATGCGGGAGATGTATTATAAAAACTAGTGTTAGAAGCTTATTCGTTGATTATACTACTATGACAGTGAAAGAATAGAAGTATAAAGTGAATTTAGTGCGTACTTAGGCATTCTGTGATGTGAGTTTGCACAGCGCATGCGTAACTGACGCCTTAACCCTCCAGGGTTAATTTAACCCTTAGGGTTCGGATTAGGTTCGTTGATCGATGCGGGTGGATTGCGTTCCGTGGTAAACCCTACCCTATGTTGATGAATAAGGCCAATGAGCCCTGAGAGTTAAACTTACCTTCCAGGGGTTTAACCCTCAGGGTTCGTTGATGAATACGGCCACGGGAGAATCAAGTTGAAGATTTGTTGAAAGTTGAATCTTTCAAAACCTTTTCAGTTACTTCCACCTTAGAAAACAATCTCCGTCTAAAACCGCAAGAGTATTATGTGGTTATCGAATTGAACCTCAGCAAACACTCTTCGAAGAGCTCATCTCTCAAATAAAAAAATCAAAATTTCGAATTGAATTCTTTTCAAGCCCTTTTCTTAATACTCTATATGCTTAAGATTTTGAACAATTTCCATATTCAAACAAAAAAAGCGACAATTTGCCAAATTCGAATATTCTGTGTTAGAGAGTATGACCCGCAAAATAAAATGAAAAAAGCGTCCTAACAGCCTGTGATAAGAGAATCATTGACGTCGATGCTGTGTGCTGCTAAGTATTCAAATATGTGCTTGAAATACCTAAAATTGACTTACAAAAATGCTTACCGCTCACTTAACTGCGTGCGAAATTCTGTCTAGAAAAAGAGCAAAATTTCCGCACTACTCTGATACTAAAGCTTTGCTGACTTCTTCACTTTTTAGCTAGACTGTACTCATGTTTTCAGATGGAAGCTGAAATCACACCTGTCGTGATAGATAATGGATCAGCTGTGTGCAAGGCTGGATTCGCAGGTGATGAGGCGCCACAAGTCGTCTTCCCTTCTATAATGGGACGTCCCAGACATCAAATAGTGGTTAAAATGGAACAGAAAGGCTTGTACGTTGGAGATGAGGCTCAGTATAAGAGAGGTTTGCTGCATTTCAATAATTATCTTGCTTGTGTGGAAAAAATTTTCCAGACATGCTCACACTACATTACCCTATCGAGAGAGGTATTGTTACAAACTGGGACGATATGGAGAAGATCTGGCATCACACCTTCTATAGCGAGCTTCGAATCTCACCCGAGGAACATCCCGTACTCCTCACTGAGCCTTTCTTGAACCCAAAAAATAATAGAGAAAAGATGACGCAGATTATGTTCGAAACTTTCAATACTCCAGCTATGTACGTAAGCACCCAAGCTGTGTTGGCACATTATGCATTCGGCCGTACTAGCTGTGTTGTCCTTGAAATTGGTGATGGTGTTACCAACATTGTACCCATTTATCAGGTTTACATAGTGTAAGAGCTGATTGATGTTTTGCATCCCATAAATTGGTCTTTCAGGGTTATTTTCTCCCTCACGCTGTCAAACGAATTGACATGGCCGGTCGTGACCTTACAAACTACATGATGAGAATCCTTACCGAGCGCGGCTATTTTTTTTCTACCTCAGGTAGGTTGATCTAAATATTCACTGGAACTGAGTGATCAAGAATAGCTTCTGATTATGAAGGCTATCATTTAGCCGAACGTGAAACAGTCAGGGACATCAAAGAGAAGCTCTGCTATGTTGCCCCCGATTTCAAGCAAGAACTTATCATGTCTAGTCATTCGAGGCTATTGGAGAAGAACTATGAAGCTCCTGATGGGCAGGTAAGAGTCAAATAAGCAGTGTTTTGACTTATACCTGAAACTGCAAATAGATCATTACGTTAGGAAACGAACGTTTCCGCTGTCCTGAATTACTCTTTGCGCCCTCTTACATCGGATCAGATTCAAAGGGAATCCATGAGACCACATACAAGTCTATCATGAGCTGTGACATTGATATCAGAAAGGTTGTTTTTAAGAATGTAATGCATTTTTGCAAGTTGTCGTGCTTTACATTTCCTTTGAAAAGTTGAAAACCACTTACAAGGGAAGGATACTTGGTGACCCCGGCCATCTGGAATGCGATGTATACCATAAGGTGCACCTCGAAACGGTGATTCAAAATCTTTGCTCGAAATCTGCGAAACAATCATATGAAGGCAGTTTATGAACTTTTTCTTCGAAAATTTGCGTACTTTTAGGTAGTTAAAATTACCCAATTTGATCTATTAGGTTCAACCGAAAGTTCTGTCGCACCATTTTCAAAAAATTATAACTTCTCTCCCTCACAATGATTTTGTGCAATTCAATTTTTCTCAGAAAGCGTAAAGTATGTAGTTTCCAAAAGTTACCTGGGAACTTCCCAATATGCTCAGGTTGCAGAGATAAAAATGAAAGAACCAGATCATCCGAAATTCGGAATTTTTAAGCAAGAATTCTAAAAATTCAGAAACTGTGCGATAAAATCCAGAAAAGCCATTATCCTAATTTCTCTTATATTTAATTACTAACTGAGTCAAGTTTGTGCTGATTGAGGTCTTCATTCAAAAGTTATGATTTTTCTTTAAAAAACGCCGAAAAATCAATTTCCTAAGAATTCTTAAAAAATTGATTTTTTGGCGTTTTTTTCCAAAAAATCATAACTTTCGAAAAAAGAGCTCGATCAGCACAAACTTAACTCAGTTAGTAATAAAATACAAGAAAACTTAGGATGACAGCTGTTCTGGATTTTATCGCACAGTTTATAGATTTATAGAATTTTTGCTTAAAAATTCCGAATTTCGGATGATCTCGTTCTTCCATTTTTATCTCTGCAACCTGAGCATGTTGGGAAGATCCCAGGAAACTTTTGGAAACTACATGCTTTACGCTTTCTTACAAAATTTGAATTGCGCAAAATCATTGTGAGGGAGAGAAGTTATGATTTTTTGAAAATGGTGCGACAGAACTTTCGGTTCAACCTAATATTTTACCATTTGAAGCTATTGAGGAGAATCTTGAAAGGTACGTTGTATTTATACATATCTAAGTCATATTTAGCATTTGAAGAGGGAGGCAAAATTTTTATTAATGATTTTCACCCTCCGCAGTAACGATTAATTTTTAAAAAAATAAATATAACTTCATCCAGGTTCTCGTTTCGCAGATATGGAAAACAGTATTCGAACTAGCATTGAAGTTCGCATTTTTTGATATACAAACCATTATGAATGGCTGGGGTCACCTAGTATCGTTCCCTGTCTAGTATTGTTTTGTGCATTCATCGTGCTTAAATTCGAAATCTTTTTCTGATGTTATATGTATTATCTTGAATGTAATCCTAAATGTTACTTTATGGTTTTTGTTTAGGATCTCTTCTTCAATATTGTCGTATCTGGTGGCACTTCCATGCTTCCTGGAATTGCCGACAGAATACAGAAGGAAATCAAACACTTGACACCAAGGTAAGAAAATAGGTATCTCTTCAATTACCTGTCTCTAATTTGCAGCACAACAAAAGTTAGAGTCACTGCCCCACCTGAAAGGCAGTATTCGGTTTGGATTGGTGGCTCCATCTTTGCTTCTCTGTCCACATTCCCGCAAGTGTGGATTACAAAACAAGAATTCGACGAAACTGGCCCTTGTATCGTCCATCGCAAATGTATTTGCTGAAAACATGCCAAAAACATCAAACGTTTTTTAGCCAGTTCAAAAGAACAAACCCTGATTGTGATACCTTGAAGGACTAATGTAAGAAAATAAAGCAACTCTTTGTACTATGAAACAACTCATTTGCGTTGAATTTGAAAGGAAACTTTCGAATGATTCTTAAGAAAGCAGACTCAAAGAATTCGGGTTTTTTGATATGCTATCAGAAGAGCGAACACAAGAAACCTGCAGGCTGGAGAGGCAGCTTTTAGTAGCGGCCATACAACATAAACACAAAATTTACATAAGGTTGACTAACAAGGGAAGGATACTAACTTAGGTTCGCCTTTTGAGATAATACACATATATTTGGAATCAGCTTAGAACGCTGATTTCAAATATGCTATTCCTAGCTGCTTAGCTTCATTCTGAAGCGAGTTATGTTCTTCTTTCTATAAATAGTTTGCATGCTTTTCGACCTACTGATGCTACGGTGTCGGCGTCTAGGTGGCTTTGTAATTGTATAATGCTCCCTTTCAAGATCGAAAGGATTAATCTGATGCTAGTTCAACATCCTAGCACTTTTTTCGAGCAGATTCTTATCTACACGCCGTCTTACGAAATTCGAAATTTTGTTGATTCATCACAACAGCAAGCCCATAACTCGCTTCGAAATAATGCTAAGCAGCTAGAAACAGCATACTTCGAATGTTCAAAGCCAATTCCAAATATGTGTGTCACATCTCAAAAGGCGAATCTAAGTTAGTATCCTTCCCTTGTAAGACATTTCGTGGAAATTTGACGCAAGTCTTATGGAAATAGATTTAATACGAAGTGCGTGGTATGTGTGCTTCCCTCATACAATCAAACGTAGGAGCCGGCTAACAAGTGGTCACTCTGGTTTCTGCCATGTTGGGCGTTGTAGGCAACATCACCCTCAACAAATTACGATGCTTGTGAAATGGGTGCTTGTTACCCATGAATTCGCAAGAGTCATACCACGAATGATTAGTAATAGGTCGGCGGATATACTGTAAAATTTGTAGTTTGTGATGAAAATCTTAAAGGCAGAGTCCTGGCAATACTTAATTTCTAGCTTCTTCGCTCACCTGGACCTATCCGCCACACTTCTGAGAATGCAAATGCAAATGCATTTGCGGCAGTGATCATCCCGTTGGGTAGACCTTGTCAATCTCGAAGTATTAGGGTGTCCCATAATTTCTTACCGTTTTTACCCTAAACCTCAGCATTTCCGAGAACTGGGACACCCTTAAAGGGTACAAACACAAGGTGGTACTTCTGTTTGTAAGAGCTATATGATCACGTGCGTGGGAGAAGCTCAGGACGTCCAAGCACAGAGTTTGTCGTTTTGTTCCATTTTTCTAAATTTCTAAGCATGGAAAAAATGCAAAAAGTGTACAGTTAAATGTTTGATATGTCAAGCATATGCTAAAATGAATGAGGAGTTCTTAAGATTTTTTGAGGTCGAGATACGATTTTTTATAGAAAATTTCGTTTTTGACTGCTATCAGATTTCAGCTCAAAACTTTATGTGGAATACGATTGTCGACCTTTGATAGCCATCTTGTAGAGCTTTTTTGTTCTGTCGAATGATTACTTGATCACTTCAACTGAAATAAAGTTACAAAAAGACGACGGTTGTAGCAAAAACAGTAAAAAATCATGGGACACCCTAAAATTGTGCAAATCTGGGTCTCGTTAGAGCTCAAAGTGAAGGTGTAACAGAAATCGCTCATTACATTAGTACCATCAAATTAAATCTAACACCAAACTGAAAAAATTTTCCGATTTGAACGTATTTTGCATTTGAAGGTTCTGTCGATGAATACTCAGGCAATAGACGGAGGTAGGCAAATCGCAAACTGGAGCTTTTTTCGCGAGAGGTCAGTAAAATCTTGAGGCGTGTGAATTCAAGGGAACGGTCTCCTCTATAATCGCATACTATGCAGACGGACAATGATGTGCAGCATTTTCTATTCAGACATTCGTGGTTAACTCGCGCGCATGCTTGTTTAGCGACAGAATGACTGTCGCTAAAACTTGTTTAGCGACAGAATGACTGCGGAACTTAATCAAATCTATCGCGAGCAATTCCGGACGGCATTTTGATCGGGAGGTTACTGACCGAGTCAACTTATTCTCCCGCATTCATGCAGACCGGGAAAAAATTGAGCTCCAGCGCGAGACTCAGTGATGTTGATCCAACTAAGGAGCAGCTTGCGCTCTCACTTCCCTTGAGAATTCTTGGAATGCATTTCATACCCATGTTTTCGAGTTCATGCGTGCTTATCAGTATTTGAATAAATGTTTATTGTAACTTTTTACAGCATTTCACAATGTTAATCAAGTGATTGCAGTTCTTGAAATATAGGAGGGTAAACAAAGTTAAATGCAAGAGCACAAGAGCATTTATGAAATTGGAGCACTTCTTCTTTCAGCGTGATGGTAATGTAAACAATGTTCACTTATAAAACGTAAAGAGGTAAGCCCAGATGTGCGATGAGATCAAGTTTGTGTTCATCTCCGTCGTCTTCTTCTCATGATGCATACCGTCGGCTGTGGTGTGCAGGTGCTGTTTCAGTTTTTCTAAAATAAGAGTGTCATTTTAAAATTGATATGCTTAGAATAGGTTATGATATTAGATTGGCGCAAAGGTTCATGCGTAATTCAAACGAAAGTCAATAAATTTCTGAAAACCAAACCTGAAATCACATTTCGGTATCCTATAGTGATAAAAAGTTTCCGCTAATACAGATGTTTAAGAATAACATTCTATGAGTTTGCCACCGAGAACGAAGCTCTCAAAAAGGGCGCTTCAAATTTTGTGATTGAGCAGTCAGCCCAAAATATCTGTACAAATTTCCTACGTAGCGAAAGTCCTTATATTACTCTGCCATGGCTCTTCTCGTAAGGAGATGCACGAACAAAAAATTTGTGAAAATTATCATTTCGCAGAGTAAACTCCCTTATCGCTTCTGTTTTTTCACAGGCATAGCCTGGAACCGAGACTGGACATAGTGCCTAACAATGCGCCGTCTTTTGAAGCATTAGAGTGTTTTTGCTGAAAAAGTGCAGTATGTTACAGTACAAGATTGAAGCCTATCACAGCAACGTATAGTCTGCCCCAATCCCAACCAGGCCAAAATTGGCATGGCGGGAGACCGCGTCGCTAGGGTTTCGCGGTCACGCCCACGGCCCGCTTCTTTGCTCTCTCTTCAATGTTTTTGCTTTCTCCGACAGCGCGCACATGCAGCGCAGACCGCTAACGCTGCGAGGGCGCAAATTTACGTTTGACGGTTCGGCCTGATCCCGATTGGAGCAGACTGTATAAACTTTTCTGTGTAAGTATTTTCGCAGATTTTTTTGGGCTAGCTAGCGGTCCTCCACGATTTTCTAGCCAAACTCAAAATCGCAAAATTTGTGGCGCCTTGGAAGCTTCATTCTTAATGGCTAAGTTATAGAATGTTAAGCTTGAACATCTGTTACCTGAAGCGCAAGCCTCCCATTATTTTTGAGATGCCGAACTATGAATCAAAGTCTTTATTTAAAAGCTTGGCTTTTAGAGGCCCATCGAATTTTGTTTGAGTCACGCAAGAACTTTCGCGCCAACCTAATATTACCGCCGGATGAGTTTGCTTGTTTCGGACTCTTATAGGCGCGCAAGTCTCCCCATATTGAAGATACATTTGCATACAGATATTAGGCCAGTCCGAAAGTTCGTGGCATTTTCAAAGACCTATCCTAAAACCCTTCAAAATAAAGACAAACAAACGCTTTAAACAGGGTTCGATGCAAATTTCTTTTACTCTTTCTAGCAGTGGTGTTTTGTCTCGATGCCTTTGATGGTTGCTTGAATTGTTGGAACCTACAAATCTTGATTCTTACGTACTCTCAAAAATTTCCTTTTCTAAATTTAGGAGGAGATTTGACCACTGGTAGTGTAGACAAAATGCAAGACAATGAATTTTTTCAGGCTTTTTCGACTTGCTGGCAAGTATTTTCCAGAAATTTTTCAAAAGTCTTCGTTTTCTGATTAGTGGAATACAGAAACGGTTCAAACAAAGATAAACATTATTAATTTGAAACTTGCAAAAGTAATTCATGATCGAACACAAAGCAAATGAGTTTTACCTCTTCGAAATATTGAATTTCTAATTTTTCGGTTACATCTTGTGTGCGCTTAGAATCTAGAATTACAATGATATCCTCGAAGCCTTCACAACCAGGGAGTAAAAACACTTGCCAGAAAGAAGAGAAAAATCTACATCGAATGATACCTTAGTGGCTCGCGCAATGTTCTATGAGGCTTGGGATAACCAAATATGGGACTTGGTAGCATCAAAAAATACTCCAAAAATTTTGAAAATCCAATTATGAATTCCAGAGCATTATCTTGCATTTAGTTTACTCTTTTCACCAGTGATTAAAGCTCTTCCAAAAGTTATAAATGGAAATTCTGAAAAGTTAAGTAAGAGTAGGTGAAAATCGGGTTGAAGATTCTGACAATTATTCGAACTACCTTCAAAGAAATCGAACAAAAACATCACTGCTAAAAGAGTAAGAATCTTTGGATGAAACACTTGAAGCTTGTCTATCTTTATCTTAAGTTGAACATAGGTCTGAAGAAAAGCCATACCTGCGGGAGCCTTTTAGATCAATAAAGGCAATTTTAATGTCAGTAGTGCTTGCAGCAAGAAACTTTGAGTATGCTAATCCAGTGTACCCTTTTCTGACACTTTCTTGGCAGTATCCATGGAACTTGAAACTCAGTTTCATCAACAGCAGAACTGCTATGGATCCATTTGATGCAAATAATTCGAAAAAATTACACTCTTCTTTAAAGGTTTACGAAAAAAAAACCTAAGCTTTCTTCGACATTTTTGCTACATACAGAATCATCTTTTTATCACCAAAATAATCGCGTAATTTTCGATCAATGCAAATAAAACTCGATTCCATCTTCAAGAAACATCAGAAATACCATGATGAAGAAGAAGCGAGCATTGAAGAAGTGCTTGTTGCATTACTTGCTAAACAAGGTGCAGTTAGATAGGCTACAAATTACGAGGACGTGTTTGAAGACAAAGATAACTAATAAGAGTTAGGGAGGATGGGAACTCTTACAAGGGAAAGATACCAACATTAGTTGGCAATCGAAGATAAGATGTGTATCATTAGATGCGCCTTTAACACGCTAATTCCAAATCTGCTTTCCTTTTTTGCGGAGTAAGTTTCCGAAAAAAGGTATGAGCGTTTGAATATCCAGATTTGCCAAACATTGAGTGGCTTAAAATCAGCGAAAAGCTCCAAAACAACACCTATGCAATTTCCATCGGCTTTGTTTCTTTCTTGCAAACAGTATACACGATACAAAAATGATTTTCCACTTTTTGGTGTTTTTGTACAACCTTTCTCCAATTTTAGGCCACCTAAACCTTGACAAATTTGGACATTTTAACGCCCAAAACTTCTTTCGGAAACTTATTCCACAAAAAAAGAAAAATAGATTTGGAATCAGCGTTCAAAGGCGCGTCTACATATTTACATCTCATCTTTAATCGCCGACTAATATTGGTATCCTTCCCTGTCAGAAAAAAAACCAAAAAGTTCTAAGTTTATGGTCTAATTCAAAATGGACTGCCGATAGGCTCGAATCAAACTGCTGCTCGCTTTGCTTGAAAGCAAACAATGATGCGTATGGAAACCCACGCGACCGCAACGGGTTGCGCACTGTTTCAATGGCGGGGTAGGAGTTCCTTGGGTAGTGATCCTTGACTCACTAAGCCCGGCGAACTGGTAACCTGGCTCAGTCCTTGTTCGTCGTGCTAAGAAGTAAACAGTAAAAAAAGTTTGTACCTGAAAACAAGTTACAATATGAAAAAAAACATTACAATACCAACGCAACAACGAAGCCAAATAAACTGGAGTGCAGTTTAAATCGCGCGATTTGCCGCGCTTGATTTGACTGCTTACATTTGAAATGCCGAGTCAATCGGAAGTAGCGACGGATGTTCTGAATTTCGCCCGCCTTATTTTTAGTATCGGGATTGGCCCGAAAGTTGCGACAAAAGCGGGTTTACCGCAGCAGTACTTATTTTACCGCGATACCCCATTTTGCGGGCGGATCTATTGCGCGAGTCAACCACGAATGTCTGAGTAAACCGCGCAAATATTTCTAAGCTCATTTGATCTGTCAGTGAGCGCTCCTCATTTGATTAGCAACTCAAATTCTGAAACAAGAGCGCTCCTCCTCCGCAACGCTCCTAGTGACGGAATGCCAAGAACACGCTATATTTTTAATTGAACCTATCCTTTCTCATAGCATTTCTGAGTTTCTATCGTGTGCCAACTCCCCATGGATTAGGCGGAACACCGCCAATGTACACGCCTGGCGGTGTTTGATAACAAAGAGTACAAAAACAATGCTAAGTATGGATGTTTATCGATGTATTCAATTGGCCGCAGCCATCCGCCTACCTTATAGCCGGTGAGCACCCTTTAGCAAGCTGATGCAAAATTAATGCAGGTCTTCCTTTCTTTCTTTTCACTCGCCCTGAAATGCTTTTCTATGCAATTTTTGAGGAATCTTTACTCGAAAGTTAATCAGGATTGGCTAACCGTTTGGTTATTCTGCGGCTTATGAAAATTTAAGCAAACACCATTGCTAAACCTTTGCATCATACAGCAAGAGTAGACCTATCAGATTTAGTGAAAAATTCTTCACTTTCTAAGTGAAAATCAAAAAACTTAAAAAAGCATTTCCTTCCCTCGCAAAATGTTAAAAAGACTTTGGACTTTTTGCATTATCCCTAAAAATGTACACGTTGTGTTGGAGGTTCGCTTAGCAGTAGTCTTTAGCTCAGAAACATGGTTCTGAAAGAAACATGTTGACTCAAAGTTGAATTACGGAAACGTGGATAAATTTCATCGCTCTATTTTTCGGATATTATCAAAGTTTTTCATTTACGAAAAAAACTAGGTATATTAAGCCAATGAAAGGTATATAGCATGTAAGATAAACTAGTTTGCCTCTATTTGCTCTGCTGTCTAGGGTAAGAGTTCCTGCACAGATCTATTTCTCTTCGTTGATGTTTTTGCATTCTTCGAGCCAATAAATTTTCTATAAGCTTGGCCAATCGTGAGTTAGCTAACTATTCTCGGTACACATCTTCTTCGAGCAACAGCGAAGAAAAAACTAGCATGTCGTTAAGCAAGAAGTCAATCACTTCTATGTTTTTCAAAATCTGCAAAACCTAAAGGGTTCTTGTCTTGTATGCCATATCGGCGCCAATCAAAAATCTACGTTTAGTATTCTCCTTACTCACGTTATTTTGTCTGTGAGTGTTTTATTGCAAGGACCGTTGTTATTATGTCAGATTGTTTTTATCAAGTGAGGAAAAAAGGTTTTGTTGGTAATTTAATTTACTATTGTTATTTATACATGGGATTAGAATAAATAATTCATTTAGAAACATTTGCGATGGACGATGGACGGGCCAGATTCATCGTATTCTTGCTTAGAGATCCAAAGCTGTTGGAAGGTGGATAGGGAAGCCAGGATGGAACCACCAATCCATACGGAATATTTTCTTTCCGGTGGAGCAATGATCTTGATTTTCATCGTGCTAAATGACAAGAGATAAGTAGTGCAAAGAACGATAAGCAGTCTAACCTTGGCGCCAATAGTTGAATCTCCTTCTGCATTCTATCGGCAACCCCAGGAAACATCGAAGTGCCACCAGACAGAACGGTGTTAGCATAGAGGTCCTAAAATTCACGCTTTGTAAGTTTCAACCTAAACTTCGTATCAGAGATTCTTGTGTAAAGCTACTGCTTCCAAATCAAAGAAGTGTTATTACAACGAAAATATACGAGCAAGCCTTTATGTACTCTATTATTCCTTTTTTCTGCAGAAAGTGCAAGATTCAAAAGCTCTTCTTCTCAGTCACGCAGAGCTTCTGAAATTCTGTAAGAATGCTCTAAGAAACCATACCTTTCTGATATCGACGTCACACTTCATGATAGACTGGTATGTGGTCTCATGTATTCCCGGTGATTCCATTCCGACGAAACTAGGTTGGAAGAGAACCTCGGGACAGCGGAAGCGCTCGTTTCCGATGGTAATGACCTAAGAAAAGGGGTCTACAGGTAGGAATTTTGTTAGTGTGACTGACTTGCCCATCTGGAAGCTCATAACTTTTTTCAAGCGAAGATGAGGAACTGGCAATGGCGAGTTCTTGTTCAAAGTCAAGCGCAACATAACAAAGTTTTTCCTTGATGTCTCTTACAATTTCTCGTTCGGCTAAACAGGTAACTTTTTCGTTTAACCTAATTTGACCTAACAGAAGTGCCGTGGCAAGTTTACTACGGCAGATTAGAACTTTGTCAGTTCTATTTGCTTTGCAGATAGCACTGTGAGCAGAGATATACAACTCACCAGTAGTAGTAAAGGTGTAGCCACGCTCGGTAAGAATCTTCATCATATAATCGGTGAGATCACGGCCAGCCAGGTCAAGACGTTGAATGGCGTGAGGAAGAGCATAACCCTACAAGTACGCACTAACAAATTTTGAAATCGACTAATAGCCTTTACCAACTTCATAGATAGGCACGGTATGAGTGACACCATCTCCAGTATCGAGGACAATACCAGTAGTACGGCCAGATGCGTACAGTGACAACACAGCTTGGATGTTTACGTACATAGCTGGAGTGTTGAAAGTTTCGAACATGATTTGCGTCATTTTCTCTCTGTTGTTTTTGGGGTTCAAGGGAGCCTCAGTAAGAAGCACTGGGTGTTCCTCTGGTGCAATTCGAAGTTCATTATAGAATGTGTGATGCCAGATCTTTTCCATATCGTCCCAGTTTGTTACAATACCATGCTCGATTGGGTATCGAAGACTTAATATACCTTAAATAAAAGATTTCATTTAGTGAAAAAAAACCTGCGCTAACCTAACCTCTTTTCGATTGTGCCTCGTCTCCGACGTAAGAATCTTTTTGTCCCATTCCTACCATTACACCTTGATGCCTCGGGCGTCCCACTATGGATGGAAATACGGCTCGTGGTGCATCATCGCCGGCGAATCCAGCCTTGCACATACCCGATCCATTGTCGATTACGAGTGCTGCGATATCGTCTTCCATCTAAAACAACTGTGGCTAAACACGCGCTGTAAGATGAGCTGTTGGTGGGTGGAAGAAGTCCAGTTCTAGATGAACTGCTGAGCAGAATGCTAAAGGGCAGCCCTTCTTTGAGGCATTGGAAGGTGAAAGTCGGCAACTGTGACGTTATCAGTATTTGACACCTTTATAAACACTCATCACAATTCTTGGAACGAAAGTGATCGCTGCCGCTCTGATTGGCTGCGAATCGCAGCCACCACCCACGATGCAGAACGAATGGCTACATTTAGAAAGGCATGCATTATTCTAGTGTAGTGTGTTGCGTTTGATCTCCGTGGGGGTAGACTGGATTGAATCATCGAAATTATGTTTTTCTGTGTTTAATGCAAAGAAAGGCTTGAGTTGAATTGAATATTCAAAATATGTTTATGTGGGAAATTACATTTTAATTCAATGGATTGAGCAGCATATTTTGTTTTTTTTAACAATAGTAAGGGAATTGTACTAAGGTTAATAATCTGTTTGCACTGCCTGCTAAGCTGCTCAAATTTACCACTTATCTGGGAACCACAATCTTTGTCAAAGGAGCCGCAATTTTACCTTGCTTTTTTTGGACCTCTAGAAGGCTTGATTTGGCCTCTTCTGCAAGATCTCGCTAGTGTAAACTGCCCAGCCAGCATAGTGTTCCTTTATAATCACGGCACGGGTGCAGCAAGCACAGAGTGCAGAAAGGCCTTACTTCAAACTATTATCCGAGTTTTCAGTACCTTACAGCTTCTGATACTGATGGCTGCGTTGCTCTCCTTATCTTTTCGTACACCTTGACGGAAAAAATTGCGAAGATATCGAATAACTATAATTAAGCAACAAAAAATAATGCAGTTTCCCGTTTTTGAGACAAATTTTCTGAAAACACACATTAGTTTGTCAGCGCTGTGGAATGCAACTTGCAACTCATTCACGTTCGGCACTAGGGTGGCAAATGGCAAGCTAAAATCGTTTCTGGTGAGAAAGAAAGGAAAGAACGTGCTCCTTGAACTTCTCCAGCCTCAAGACAAACAAGCTTTTCCACTACTGTTATGCTCAAACTGCTGGAACACGAACTGCTTATGGCATGCTTTTAGAAAACAAAGCCCCATTGCAAAAAAATGCGCACAGAGCATAACGATATGGCACTTTATATGGTATAAAAACGGACAATGGCTATAAGATATAAAATTCGAAAGGCATGTGACGCTCATTTTTTTGAACATTATCCTAAATAATTATTTTTACATTTTCTTTGCGCAAAGTAGGAAATTTTCACAAAAAAGCGGTGCTCTGTGCAAAAAACCTCGCAAAAGCTGGCACTTACCTCTTGTTATGACTGGGTTTCCTCCGTAAAAGTGACACAAGCTTGCCTTTGCAAAAACACATGTTTCTTACGAAACTCTGTGAGTTAAGGCGAAGCGGTCATCTTCATCGATCAGTGCTCTCATAGCTTGAGAACAGCAAAACAGTTGCGCCGTCCTAGCTGATATCTTTGTAAGTAAGCCACTAATAGCTGATATCTTTGTAAGTAAGCCACTAATTCTTTTCATGTTACATCAACACCTTGTGGAAGCACGGTTCACTCACACAAACAAGATGATGGTTTGTCCGATTTTTGAAGCCATTTGGCGGGCGAGCAAATTATGTTTAAGCCTCCTCTTAGTCCTGTAAAAGGTAACGTGAGAGCATATATGAAAGCTCGAGTTAGCAATCATAGTAAAGTACTGAAAGCGGGAAATTCCACAAACAATCTGAAGGAACGAAATGGACAATCTAGAGGCAAAATCCAAAATGATAGAGAACAGCTTTGTCGCAATCATAAGCACTTTTGGACCACGTGTTTCAACCAAGCTAGTGCATCATGCCCTAGATCAGCTAAAAAGTGCACCACCTCATTAGTTAAATTGTCTTGAGGTTGATCTACAGTCTTACTCCGGATCAGCCTAAAAGCAGCATGATGCGAGTTTACACCCTTTGGCTCGCGTCAGGTCTACGGTTGGTATAGGCTGTCGTGCTAGGACCTGTTTGTTCTCTCCATACTCCCTTCAGTTCCGACAATAGTTTGCAGCGCAAAACATTTGCGTTGCGCTCGATTTCAAGCCAATTTTCGGCCTGATCTCGGTGGGGCCTGTAAGTTGCGGACGTACGCTTTGACACTCCGTAAGTTTTCGATCGACGAGACAATCCTGCAATTTGACTACTTTCTTTTTTGTTGCTCTCCATTATCTCCTCCTTTTCTGTCCGGACAAGGATTCTCGTGACTCTAAAACATCCCATATGGATGTTTTCCTACCTCCGATGATAATGTGGATTTCACCGTGGAACAGACTGTGAAGGTTACTGCATGACGAAGGCGCAGAAGCATTATCAGTTGGGCGAACGGGCGAGCGCGAACGCGACGCGCGCGTATCCTCACCATTGTAAATCCTGCTCCTCATGCCCTCTGCGATTAATAAAGCCGTGTTCGCGCTCAAAGATATTGCGCCTTCGTCATGTAGCACCGTACATATGGTTGCAGATTTCGCAAAAAAGCTTATATTTCTCTAATGGTATCACCATCGGGTGACTATCTTACCTATCTTAACCGGGTTGTACTAGTATCGTAATACATTCCAAAACCATTTAGTTTTTTCCCTAAAATGACATACAGCTGTAAATTGTGGAAGCTGAATGGATTTTATCCGGTGAATAGTGTTCTATATTTCAGTACAACAGTCAACATGGACGATGATGCATGATGCTGACTAATCGGCAAAACGATTTTCAGTGATAAGAGATTTCAGTCTATGACAAAAAAGTGCTTCATCACTCTCGGGTACTTAAACGCTCATGACTAACACAAGGTGTCTCAGGAATATTTACCGACTGTTTGACAGTTGATAACCAAAGTCGAGTTAGTGGTATCACAGGCGACCACCATATACGACACTCTACCTTAATTGTGCTCATTACGAATCCTTGTCGAGTATCGTAAACCTATCAAGTATAAAAAGGGAGCTATTAGGTCACATAAGTTTTGTTACACTTTCATACCCTCGATACATAGAGCCATTTACTCTGGTAACCTTCACTTTGAGCGCTGTAGTAGAACACAATCTTCACCTAAAAAAGCAAAAAGGCATCCGGGGCGAAGCCCCGACTTTATAAATCTGACCATACTGGAATGAGTGTGAATGAAGCAAATATAGAAAATAATCCCTTTAATCTCAGCGAAACCGAGATTTTGCGTTTTTATAGCCTTTTTAAGCTAAAGAGAAGGTTTCTGTGAACGTTTTCTCCAGAATTTAGGACAGCAACTCTCACGTAACCTCCTCTTTGACTAAAATTGAGTTTCAAGTTTAGGGAAGCTGTTGGAGTTAAATAAAAACGCGAAACTGCGCTATCTTGCGCAGAGTCTCGCGCACGAATATGCTGGTCTATCTCGTTAACGAGTGATTTTCAACGCTTGGGACGTTGTCAGTGCTCCTTGTCGTGTCATGACGATGAGAATGATATATGATGTTGTAGGATTTCGTTGAGACCCTGCGGAGATCTAGTACCAGAGCCAAACGCCCCAACGGCTCTGGTCTGTCTCCGCTGCTCGTCTGCGTCTCCGCGCGCTGCGCGCTACCTCGCTACCCCAAACGCGGGGAGCGGGGAATTTGGCTCCGGTACCCTTTTCTTCGTTGTTTCAAACCCAACTGTAGCAAGCTATATATTAAATTGAAGCTCTTAATCTCTACATTCACCCTGACAACGTCCCAAAACCACATTTTTTAATTTGAACGAGAAATCTGGCAAACCCTGTTTTTGAAAATCTCTTGCTTTTCCCCTAATTCAACTCTTTTCACGCGTTTTTTCGGGCATTTCGTAGATTTTGCTTTTGTTCATAATGCAGATAACGACCCAATGCTTACCTCTTCGATTAAGGCTTAATTTTTTGTGAAAAATCGTAAAAAGTGCGTTCTTCATCACTCTGTTCTATTTCACTTTTTCGCAGCGATTTTTTTCCAGCTTAGACAATTATTGATCAGAATAATGAGCGCAACAATTTAGACAACGTCTCAGAAAAGGAAACCACAATGCGGGGGCAAAAATTCAAAGAATGCACCAAATACTAAATTTGGCTTTGACGTGCATTTTCGACTTAGTAAAAAAGAAACTTTGCTTTTTTATAACTAATTTCTTTCTTGTTTATCTTTTCTTGATAATCGTTCCTTCTGAAACATGGTGTTTTTGGACTAAACACAAAAAAAACTAGCTTTTTCTCGTTTTCCCCCCTTTGTGGACTACGTGGTCGGAGCGAAAACCGCAATGCCGCCAAATGAAAGATTCAAGCTTATTGCGACGTTTCTATCCCCTTTTCAAGAGATTCTTTTACTTTTAATAAATGTTTTGCATCTTTTTTTTCTTCTCTGATTCTATAGGAACGACCTTCACTTTTTATGCGAGGCAGATAATCAAACAATCTTCACTTTTAGGGCCCTGTCTCTAGACTACCGAAGAGATGAGTATAACCGTAAATTTTCAGCTCTCCAGAAGCCCTAGTTTTCAAAAATTACCTAATTTAGCATTGAACGCCCGAGTGCTCAGATAATCGCCGGAGGCAGGCGGCCATGCGATTTATGGGCGGGCGGGAACCGGAAAATTAGTTCGTTGATTTCTTGCGGTTTGCTTGCAGATATTTGGAAGATTTTTAGCGAAATTTCAGACGAATGCTTGGAGGACAATCGCGGTTTCCTTAAAGATTAGCTGCGGCGCAATGGCCGCATTCTCGCGGACTTTCCGCGAGAATATGCAAATTTTTAGAGGGCCGCACGGTCTTTTGTGGAGGACCGCGCAGCCCCCAGGTACTTTCCGCTGGGAGAAAGTACCTCAAATTTGAGTAATTAAACCAACGGTGACACCTCTGCCATGTAGAGTCTCACCTTTGCTCGGCGTACGCCCGAAACTGCTTAGAAACCGTCCGAGCGCTAGCTGAAAATTTGACCTGCGCTCGCTGAAGGAAATCATTTGCCGAGCGCTTGCAAAGAATGCCGTATTGCTGCCCGCTGGCAGAATATGCAACCGTAAGGGAAGTGCCGCCCGCTGAAGGTTTGGCCACGCCCCAAAATTCGGCTGACCGCTTGCAGA